TCGTTGTTGTTATGTGCCATCGAGTCGGTGCCGACTCACAGCGACCCTATGCACAATAAAACAAAACACTGCCCAATCCTGGGCCAACCTCACTATTGTTGCCATGCTTGAGATACTGATGCTGCCACTTTCCCAATCCATCTCACTGAGGATCTTCCTCTTTTTCTCTGACCCTCCACCTTACCAAACATGATATCCTTCTCCAGCAATTGGTCCCTCCTAACAATATGCCCGAAGTATGAGAAACGAAATTTGGCCATCCTGGCCTCCAAGGAGCACTCTGGCTGCACTTCTTCCAACACAGATCTGTTTGTTCTTTTGGAAGCCCATGGCACTTTCAATACTCTCCTTATTTACTGAATATAAAACTAATGATCTGCTCTGTAACTGTTCACTCAATTCACAATAAAAAGGGGTTTTTTAAACACAAAAACTTATATACAAATTGCCTCTATGTCATGTTCTTTACATTTCTTGGAAAAGTTGGTAGTTTCCCACAATGTGGACTATGCCTCACTGAGATTGTTATGCCTTTAAAAAATATAATGAAATAAAAATTTTTTTTTCCCTTTTCTAGAAGGGTGTTTGCTCTGATAGGCTGACTTTTCTTGCCTTGATGTCTCTATAGCAAACAGCTTGCTTGAAATGCAAAGCCAAACAGCTTTTTTCTGCAGGCCTTTCTTTCAATAAGACTCTTCTGTTCTCCCATAGTTTGGGGTTGGTCTGCATGTCTTTTCAAATGCAAATGTTCCATCTCAGAAGGTTCTGAGTCTGGCTCAGGCTTCCACCTAAGGCCCCATACTCTACAAAGGTGTAATAGTTAAGGTTCTATATCAACTTGACTAGGCCAGAATTCCCATGGATTAGCAGTTAAAATGTGCTTATTCCCATGGTGATGAAACTTAACACAGGTGTAGTTAATTATGATGAGTGGCTATGAGTAGCCACTCAACTGAAGGGATGCTTCTTGGGCGATATGGCCTGCTCCCAGTATAATGGACACACAGGAAAGACTCTCTCTTCCACTGGAGACCTAGGACTCTACACTTGTAAGCCATTTCCTTGATAATAAATCTCTCTCTCTCTCTCTCTCTCTCTCTCTCTCTCTCTCTATATATATATATATATATGATTTATTTATGGTGGTATGGTGGTGGTTATGTGCCGTGGAGTTTGTTCCAACTCATAGCGACCATGTACAGGGTTTCCAAGGCTTTAAATCTTTACAGGAGCAGAAAGCCTTATCTTTCTCCCATGGAACAGCTGGTAGTTTCGAACTGCTGACCTTAAGGTTTGCAGCCCGATTCATAACCACTACGCTACCAGAGCTCCATATATATATATACACACACACATACACACACGTATATATATTTCACTGGTTTTGCTTCTTTAGAAAACCCAGTAAAGACAAAAGGCTCAAAAAGAAGACTATTTCTCTAGGCAAATTCTAACTCCCCTTTTAGCAAATCCAATCAATTATAGGCCGAAGGCAGGTTTACAAGCTTTCTGTAATTATAATTCCCAATATTCAGCCAGAGAATTACTTTCTCCTCCCTCCTACCCCTGGTAACCATCAAAGAATGTTTTAGTATGGAAACCTTTTCTTAAGCTTTTAGAATAATGGTCTCATACAATATTTGTCCTTTTGTGATTGACTAATTTCACTGGGCATACTGTCCTCCACATTCATCCATGTTATGAGGCTTTTCAAAGATTCATTGTAGTGAAATCCTTCCTCTCCTGCATCTGAGACAGCTCATTTTATACATGTTAGAGTTGCAGGTTCTTATAATCACAGTTAATCTTGTTAACTACTCACAATTGAATCATATAATCCTACCATCTTCTCCCATCTTCTCTTACAGAGACCTATCAGCAAAGATACTGTTTGGTGGGCGTTTACAAAAAATCTAGACAGAAGAACCATGAACCAATTCACTGCACCACAGCAATTCACACACATTTTGTTACATGCCATCAGTTGCAATCCTCACAATGTAACATCTCTCATCATCATTGTATGACCCATTTCCATTTCTTCTGCTTTCCTATCCCTTTTTGCCTTCTGAACTTTGTCCTTGGACAGATGCTTCCCTTTCAATCTTGAATGGTTGATTATTCTAAGGTGTGCTTACCTCCCTAGTGTTATTTATTGGTCACCTTACAGATCTGTCTATTGTTTGAAAATTAAGTCACAGGGGTGAGTTCAGAACTAGACCTGAGGGTGACTAAGGGCATAGTCCCAGCAGAACAATTTGTATTCGTTCTCAAGACTTGAAACGAATCCTCTGTTCTCTGAGACCATCTAGGCAATGGCTCTGCCCTTCAAACTCGAGTTGGTAACCATGCCTTCTGGATTCTGGGTAATGATTCCTCAGAACTGGACTTCAGCTCTGCCTTCTAGCCCACTGGGACAGCAACTCTACCTCCTTGACTTTAGGTGGTCTCAATCTGCTAGTCCAAATGAGTGACGATCCCACCCCCCTCGACCCAGGTGGAGCTTGTTCTTTCACCTCTTAGAGATGGTAGCTTTGTACCTTCATGACTGGGCAGCCAATCTGTACCTTCATGACTGGGCAGCCAATTTGTACCTTCATGACTGGGCAGCCAATCTTCATGACTGGGCAGCCAATCATGGTACTTGTGAATGGTAGCTAGCCTCACACCTTGGACTCAGTTGATGAAGCTCTGACTCTTCAAAATGTAAGAGCTATGACCCCAGTCTTTGAGACCCCTATCTTTTGACACTGAGATTGTGTCTCTACCTTTTGACACTGAGGAAGCTCGGCTTCCCAAGGTCCTTGTCTCTTCAGGTTCTTCTTTCCAGTTCTTTGGCCCCTTAAGCCTCTGCCTTACTTGGGCAAATTTACAAAGCTCTTTAGCTCCACTGATAAATGCCCAGAAGCACCCCCACTTCACCAAGCAGTGTCCTGCCCAAAGGTAATCAGCTTTCTTGCTTCATGCCTGCCTCATCACATTCTGAGCCATCTCATGCTTGTCTGTCTCCTGGTTCTACAACCACCATTTCTCTGCCACTGCTTCTCACTGTCAGTATTGTCTCCAGTGTTACCTCTCTCCTCACTTCCTCCTGAGTCCTCATAAGAATTGTCTTTCACATCCATAATTCCACCAGCATTCTATTCAAAGCAATCTAGGCTTTTATGATTGTTGTTAGGTGCCAATGAACCAGTTCTGACTCATAGTAACCCTTTATAGGGTTTCCAAGGAGCAGCTGGTAGGCTTGAACCACTGACCTTGCAGTTAGCAATCCAGTGCTTATTATACAGTGACACACCAGGCACCTTAAAACTCTTCCAGTCTCTAGTCATTACCTAATTCTAAAACCACTTCCACATTTTAGGTATACTTTAGAGTAGCACCCACTCCTGGTACCAAATCTGTCTTATCCAGTGCTGCTGTAACAAAAATACCACAAGTGGATGGCTTCAACGAACAAATTTAGTCTCTCACAGTTTAGGAGGCTAGAAGAGCAAATTCAAGACGGTGACTCTACGGCAAGGCTTTCTCTCTTTGTTGGCAATAAGGAAATGTCCTTGTCTCATTTCAACATCGTGGGGAATCTCCAAGTCTAGGAGGTTCTCAGCCCAGAGAGCTCAGATCCAAAGGACCTGCTAGGCTCCTACCTCTTCTGTCTTAGTGGTAGTCAGGTCCCTCTGATCTCTCTATTCACTTGTTTCATCTCTTTTATATTTCAAAAGAGATGGACTCAATATGTACATTTATCCTATGGATTATATCTGGTCTTGTTAGCATAACTGCCGCTAATCCTGCCTCATTAACATATTGTTATTGTTGTTGTTAAGTGCTGTTGAGAGTCGGTTCTGACCCACAACTACCCTGTATACGGTTTCCAAGGAGCAGCTGGTGAGCTTGAACTGCTGACTTTGCAGTTCAAAGAGCTTTGCAGTCTGGTGCATTATCCCACAGCACCACACTAGGACTCCCATTAACATTATAGAGGTCAGGATTTACAACATAGGATAATTATATCAGCTCACAAAATGGAGGCTAACTGCATAACATGGAGAATTATGGCCTAGCTAAAGTGACACATATTTGGGGTAACATAATTCAATCCATAGCACCCTATGAGTCAGGTATTGCCCCACACAAGGGAACTAAAAGAAAAACAACTTGCCTAAGGTCATAGAGCAGAATAGAGTCCAGGATTTGTGTTATACTAATACATCCTCTTAGTCATTGAGTTCCAATTAATTTGGAAATGTTTTATTTCCTTCCACAAAGAAATGAGTCAAGAGACTGCTAAAGTGTAGCATTGATTTGTATTTAATGAGGTGCTTACCAGGTACTGGGACCACAGCTTCCAGTTATCATTATCACTTCCAGTCCTCAACAATGCTATCTGTAGATGTTAAATAATTTGCCCAAAGTCACACTGGCTAACAAAGCAGTGGAGCTGGGTCTGTTTGACTTCAAAGTCCAAGATACTCTTAACCTCTAGGCTACACAAGGCTTCAGAAGAATGTGGACCAGAAAGGTCTGGTGGGGCAGTGTTCCTCTTGCCAGCTTCCAGCTCACCTTCCCGCTTCACATCCCGGGATGTTCCTACTAAATCAGTTTATGTCCCAAGCTTTTGGACAGAGACCTATTTAAATAATAAGCAAACACAAGTAAACACAACTTCCCACGTTTTCTGAAAACTCAAATAATGTCAACCCCCAGGGGAAATAGGACGGATGTCAGCTAGGGTTCAGATCCCATCCCCTTAGGAGCCTCGGGGCAAGGGAGGAAGCGGCTCCGGATGGAGAGTAAAGCGACAATCGGAGAAGGAAAGGCAGCTTTTCCTCCCTGGGGAGCAGAGGCCGCCGGCCGGCAGAGGGAACCTGCCGAGGGCGGTTTCTCTCCTCTTTTCCTGTCCCACCCAGTCGGTCTGTCCCCCCACCCCCACGGCTGGCCCCTGTAGCTAACTGCGGGGTTCTCAGTGTCTTCCTCCAGCTGGATCTCTCGTCCTGCAGGGTCGTCAGCTTCTCCTGGCCTCAGCAAATCTCTGGATCCCGCCCCCGTGGAGTTCAAAAGCAAGCGCACAGCGGCGCCTGGGCCGTCCGACTGGAAAGGTGAGCACGCGGAGGAGGGCACCTGGTGAGGGAGGGAGGGCCAGGCGAGCCGGGACACCCGCATTCACACTCCTCGTCACTTCGGCCACGCCAGGAACTGAAACCGAGAGTGGCCAGAGTCCCGCGCGCACCGGCTTCCCCTCCAAGCGCAGCGAGCTCGTCTGCTGCTGCTGCGGCTGCGGGTAACATCCGAGGGTCCAGGCGGGGATGAGGGGTGTAGTTGGGGAAGGGGGCCACAGACCCCCGGTGTCCGCTGTGGCATCCAGGGATCATAGGGCGCCCGAGGCACAGGGTGGTAGCCAGCTGGAGTTGGGCCACTTGTGGCCAGCTAGTGGGGGCTTGAGCAGACTGTGCGCGGACAACGTAGAGGACAATGAAGGGGGCACTGGGGCGGGTGGACCGAGCCCGGAAAACTGAGTGTCTGAGACCCAGCAAAAAGCGGCTGAGGACCCTCCCTCACATCCAGTCTGATTTGCCTGACTTGCCCCCCTCAGGCTATGTACCTGCCTATACGCACCCTAGCCAAACGCAGGTCCTGACCTTCCCCGACCCTAGCCTGACACCTAGTGGATGGTTCCGCTCGAAACTGGGATTGTGGAAGCCCGGGTACCTGTTACCGCAGTTGGGTGAAACTGAAAAAAAAAAAAAAAACCCTGCTAATTTGCAGATTTTTGCCTAACATTCTCAGGCAAGGGGAGATTTCTTAGGTAAATGTGGTAGCCCGGTCAAAGTATCTCGGGGTAGAACGCTCCAAGATAATGCATTCCAAATACAGGTGCTCTTAGATATGTTCTTCTGGAACAATCCTGGCAGCCGGAGACCGAGGAGATACTCAGGAGATAACTAAAAGGTGTGGGTTTGGGATTGATTTCCTGTCTTTCCCCAACTTCCTGGATCCAGGGGGAAAGGAGGACATGGGGAAAGGACTCAGGAAAACTTGGCATCTACAAAGTCTGGGGTTTCAGGGCCTCTCCAACCCCAAGGACCTACACACTTCATTTGTCTTTGTTCCTCTTCCTACAGATTTGCTCTTCTGTCAGGGAGGGCCCTCATCTCTTCTCTGCAATGACTAGCCTCCCAATCATGGCAGGAGGTAGGTAAAGAAAGACCTTTTCTAATTGGAATGGAAGACATCTGTTCCACATTCCCCACCTCTAACCCGACCTGGAAATCCCTGAGACCTCAACTCCCTCTGCCTGTCTCACCTTGGGAGCAAGTGGGAGGCAACTCAAGTGTGTACTTTGTTACAGTTTGAAGTAAAGTTTGTAGGACCAGGGTCGATTCTAGTACTACCAGTTGGAGCTTTGTGACTTTGAGTGAGTTATCTAACCTCTAAGCGCCATTTTCCTCACCAGTAAAATGGGAGAAACAGTACTTCTGAGACTGTGGGAATTAAATGAGATAACCCATATATAAAACACTTAGCTCAGTCTCTAGTATCCAGTAAGCACCTAGTTCTGTTAGCTATTGTTGTTGTTGTGCGTTACTGAGTTGGTTCCTACGCATAGTGACCTTGCACAAGTCTTCCAAGAACAGCCAGTGGGCTTGAACTGCTGTGGTTACAGGTCTAGTGCTTATCCTACAGCATCCCACCAATTATTTTGTTACTGGGTGCTTATTTTTAAAAATCTACATTTCCTTGGAAAATAATTCTGCCTACTTTCTAATTCCACTCCTCTAATGATACAGACAGGAACAATTGGGAGGATGGAGCAGGACTGGGCCATATTTTGTTCTGTTGTACATAGAGACACTGTGAGTGGGAAGCTAGCAACAACTATCAAAAGCCCATTGCTTCACAGAAATATTTAGCTTTTTGTAATTTCGACGTGTAAATTTTTAAAGACACAAATATAGAGATGTATTTGAACTATAAATAATACATAAATGTATAAGTTAGCATGTACCTATAGATTACTGCTTGCTGAAAGTGAAGAGGACTTAAAACATTTACTGATGATGAAAGTTCCATGGGCTGCCAAAAGAACCAATAGATTTGTTTTGGAAGGAGTGTAACCAAGAGTGCTCCTTGGAGGCCAAGATGGCCAAGCTTTGTCTCTTATACTTCGGTCATATTGTCAGGAGGGACCAGTTGCTGGAGAAGGATATCATGTTCGGTAAAGTGGAGGGTCAGAGAAAAAGAGGAAGACCCCCAACAAGATGGATTGGCCAAGTGGCAGCATCAATGGACTCAAGTGTGGCAACAGTAGTGAGGTTGTCCCAGGATCGGGCAGTGTATCGTTCTGCTGTGCATAAGGTCGCTATGAGACAGTACCAGCTTGATGACTCCTAACAACAACAACAATAGATTATTAAATATAATTAACTGACTGATAAGTGATATCTAATAATGGCAAGATCAGCAAGTCACATGGCAGGCAGGCAGGTCCTACAGGTAAGAAGGCAGGCTATTGATGACTCCCAGGATCAGCAGGTAGTAGAGCAGGACACTGACTCAAGTCCAAAGAACCGGAGGTCGGAGGATGAGCCAGGTGCAAGATCCAGGCCCAGTAGAGAGCAAACGAATTTTGCCTTGAGTGTCCAATATATTGGAAGCAGGCTACACCCCCAAGGATGCTTCCCTTCAATTGATTGGCTGCTTATAGCTGACCTTATCATAGAGTTGGTTACATGATGTGACATTTCATCATGCGGGATAACTGCACCTCAACTGCCACACCACAATCCTTTTCCAGTCAAGTTGACACAAAACCTTAACTGTCAAATTCTCAATTGCTGCTTTATATTTACTATTTTAAAATACATGACATGTTTACTACTTATATATGAATTCATGATATCCTGGTTATTATTTTTTTTTTTTTTAACAACCATCTAGAGAAACCTGTTTTATCACTCCAGTAGTTTTGAGTTTGAGGTTTTATCATCAGTTCTTCATTTCATAATTTTTTATAGCTGACATGAAGTTATCTGTCGAAAAAATAAAAAGTGATTTCATTGAAAGAAAAATAATTCTGCCATTCCTTGGGATTATGCTCAGTTAAGAATCCTTTCCTCACATTGAAAATGGATGCTCATCCTTGATTTTATAAGCAGGCTGGTGTATTGGCTATGCTAGATAGAGTGAGGGAGGATAATACTTTGATTGGTTTATATCAGGGCATTGAACTGGTTCAAACTGGTTCAATTGTGGTGAAATCAGAAGAGACCTAAATTTGTAAGATGTGGGCATATCAGAATGATAATTGGAACAGGAAAAATTTTGGTCAGAACTCTAGAATGGGAGACTCAGCTTGGAAGAGGTTTAGTGAACCCTTTCAGGAGTCTTATGCTGGAGACTGGATTATTGCCAGGACTCTGGAGAATACCACACATTCATAGTGGTGCTGTTGTCACCATCTTTGAGCCAGGTACCATTGGTTTTGACTTAGCTGGTCAAGAGATTTGCTTAATATGCAAGGTGTACACTGCCTTTGTTTTCTAAGAAGGAGATTAAGTTTCTTATAGGAAGTTGACCTGTAATTTTTCCCATTCTGGTTATGGTTCCTGTATACCACATTTTACAATCAGTCTGTTTGGATTTTACTTTGTTGGCCATGACCGAACTAGGAAGAACCCATTTTGAAGCCCTGGTTTATACCTCTTTATTGTTATTTGTCATTTAGACAGATATTCTGTGCTGTACAGATATGGATACAGGTGAAGTGACCAACTAGGTGAAGTCTAAGCAGTGTCCTCTGTGACTGGTAATGTGCACAATTCAGGTTGTATTTGTCTGTTGAGAAGTGATAAGAAAAATGAAATGAGTGAAGTCTAGATTGGTCAGCAAAGGCTTCATGAACAGAGAGGAGGATTGAGTCCTAACCTAGAAAGATAAATGAGGTCTGGACGGGCAAAGAGGGATGTGATGGGTGAAGAGGTAGCACCATGTGTGGAGGTACAGAGGCTGAAGGGTGTTCTGGATTAGGAGATGGGGACTTCCAGAATAAGCCTGCCCATCTGGAAAAGAGTTGATGCTTTGGCAGAGGGATAAGGACTTGGACAAAAAGGAACTATTTACATTCTTGGCCAGAAGAGTGAAGTGGTATTTTAGGATATATCACATTGTCCCCCTTATCCATTGGGCTCAAGGCAGGTGTGTGTTTAGAGGCAGGAATGGGAGAAATCATTGAAATCACAGATGGCCAGGGCTTGCACTTTGAGAGGTGGAATCACTGAGGGTCAGCTCTTCATTTCTACTTCGGGGAACCCCAAGATCCCTATCTATACAAGTCTCCCAATTTCTTTCACCCAGTCAACCCATAAAGATTTCTTTATAGTTATCTTTAAGGTTATCTTCTTTGTTGCCGTTGCTAGGTACCGTGGAGTCGGTTCTGACTGAGTGATCCTATGCACAGCAGAACAAAATGCTGCCAGTCCTGTGCCATCCTCAGAATTATTATGCTTGAGCCCATTGTTGCTGCCACAGTGTCACTCCATCTTGTTGGGGGGGTCTTCCTCTTTTCTGCTGACCCTCAACTTTACCAAGCATGATATCCTTCTCCAGGGACTGGCCCCTCCTGACAACATATCCAAAGTATAAGATGTACAAGAGGCAAGGTTTCCTGCCTTCTAAGGAGCATTCTGGTTGTACTTTTTTTTTTTAATGTTTTATTGTGAATTATGTGATAGTTTACATGGGAGAACATTAGTTTTACAGTCATCCTATCGTATAACATTTCATTGCCATGGTCACAATCCCCTCCATGCATCATCAGCCAGCCAACCAAAGGGTATACCCTGCAAGCCTGCCCCCAGGTGATCAGCCCATAGCTCCTCTCCCTCTCTGGGTCTAGAGTTCCCAGCCGCTCCATCTCTCCACGTCATTGTCTCTGCCTCTATCTCTGGCATCATTATTTCTCTGGGTAAGGTCCCGCACTCTGCTGGTTGTACTTTTTTCAAGACAGATTTGTTTGCTCTTTTTTTAGTCCATGGTACTTTCAACATTCTTTACCAACACCATAATTCAAATCCAGGCTACATTATGACTTTGTGGGCTCGTTTCTCCACCAAAAGAATGTTTTTATTTCATTATTACATTAGTATAAGCAAGACTATAATAATATTATATTGGACTCCTGATATGGCACTGTAGGATAAGCACTGGACCGTAAAGTCAGTTTGAACTGCAAAGTCTGCGGTTCAGAATCACCAATGGCTCCTTGGAAACCCCAGTACTTAACAATAACATAATAATGATATTAAGGAGTCCCAGGGTGGCTCAACTACTAGCTAAACGGTTGGTGGTTCAAACCTACCCAGAGATTTCTGGGAAAACAGGCCTGGTGATCTGCTTTTGAAAGGTCACAGCCACTGAAAATCCTAGGGAGCAGCTCTACTCTGCACACTCAGGATTCCTGTGGATTGGAGTCCACTCGATGGCAACTAACAGTGTAATAATTTTAGTGTAACATTATTAATACTTCCTTGTGCTCAATGTGTTTTTTAATCTGGTATTTAAACATTTTCACAGACTCTTGAAAGTCCTGTGGCCCCTAGCCACGGCGCCTCCTGTGTCCAGAGGTTAAGTCTGGCCCTGCTGGAAGTGGGGCAGAGTAGAGTCTTGCACTGTAGACTCTGCGTACCCCACCTGATAACACCACCTAATTACACAAGGGGGCTTCAA